TTATTATCGCGCGATAAATGGAAATTATCGCGCGATAAATGGAAATTATCGCGCGATAAATGGAGATTATCGCGCGATAAATGAAAATTATCGCGCGATAATTTTTATTATTATCGCGCGATAATTTTTATTATCGCGCGATAATTTCCATTCATCGCGCGATAATTTCCATTTATCGCGCGATAATTTCCATTTATCGCGCGATAATTTCCATTTATCGCGCAATAATTTCCATTTATCGCGCGATAATTTCTATTTATCGCGCGATAATCTATCATTTATCGCGCGATAAAAAAAATGTGTCATGACCCCTATGGGCCACCGTACAAATATGTAACGATATGATAAGATAAAAGATAAAATAGAGGGAGCTTAAAAGTCGCGGTCGCCATGCTGGCGCTCCCAAGAGACTTCTGAATAATAGCCTATTGTGCCGCAAATTAAGTGTCTAAGAGATTAATCTTCAAGTTTGTCCAGTAATCCCTTACAAAGCTTCAGTTCGCAGCCAGTAAATGAAACCTTACTCCCTCTGTCAAACCTTTCTACTGGTATGATTGTCTTCTGGATCCATTTGCCCTCCACAGGATCAAAGCATTCAATCATCCGTTCGGCCTCGTTACGGTCATTCTTTCCACCCAACACAAACAATTTTTCATTCAGACAAACCATATTACTTCCGCCCTTACGAGAAACAATCAAGCTTCCGGTAAGGATCGGTAAGGTGCCATTCATTTGTTGACATAGAATACACCTCACGAGTTTGCAACACTGACGGTCTCTCTATATGCGATCCACCAGCGACAAAGATTTTCAGATGCATGACCTCTCCAAAAGCATTACCTCTTTCTTCTCGCATGTCAGCGATTTCCTCCCATTTGTTTTCCACAGTGTCAAATCTCTCAGTTGTGGCGACGTTTTGTGACGACGAGGGAGGACTCCCACCAAGCACGTAGAGATGGCTGCCGGCTGCAACAACACAAGCTTCCCTTCTACAGCCTTCAAGAGACGAGAGAAGCGTCTCCCAAATATACGATTCCACGTTGTATTTTTTCACTGTGGTTTGTTCACCTTGTCTGTTAATAGCGTTTGTATAAAGAAAAGAAGACACTATCCCTATAAAATATTTATTTCCTGATCCCCACATCATAATAAAGGCCTTGTAATATCATGATTGCCCCCCTAATTTTCAGTTAAGTGGCAGTCAGTTTTATAACCCCAGCTTTATTATCCGATGGCGAATGGCGACAACTGATTATGGCCCGCCGAAGCGAACAAAAATACTTGTGTATGGATATCTAATACTTGTTTTGTAAAATATACGACTTGTTGCTAAAATATAACGCTTGTTTTGTAAAATATACGACTTAATGCGGAAATATAAAACTTGTTTTGTAAAATATACGATTTGTTACGAAAATGTAACTCTTGTTTTGTAAAATATACGACTTTGTATAAATATAATACTTTAACAGCGCCAGCTATTTGAGTGTTCAAGCCTCAAAAAAGATGGCGGATGAGTTAGGAGCTTTTCTTGGAGTGTTAGAACTTGGAAAACAAATTTGCAAGGACGTTAGACGAAACTTGTTTGTGCAACTAATCAGTCAATATGCGCTCTGCTGCAAAGCAGCTGACCATAGACATTGGGCGCCCTTAAAAAAAAATGTGTTGTGTGTATTTGTTTTGTTCATTGCATGTGTGACACTTGCGACAAACGAGATCTAGGTCGAAGGGTGTCGCTAAAGCGTGTTAATGCTACGGGACTATCTTACAGGTCGTGTGCTTCAAGTACCAATAACCACGGAAAACCAAGGTTGACGGTTAACGGTGATTTAATGATGATGAACGATTAGCGAACCACGATAGACAATCACGATCACGATCGTAAACTGAAATAACAATGCAATTTACTTAAAACGTTGCGTAACTCATGAACAAAACGCTTAGAGCAATTAACCTGCCTCCGTAGATAACGCGATCAAAATTAACAACAATCAACAGGAATACTCGAAAATCATAATAAGCTACATCAAAATAACTCGAGATTTAAATCGATTGTAAGATTAACAAAATGGCGCTCCCAGCTTAGCGTCTCATTCTTTGATTCGCCTCCTTTAGATTGAAAACAATAAATTGTGCTATTGTACGACTCTGTACGTTAGCGTGCTTCTACCCAAAACAAGAAAACTAATCAAAGGAGGAAACTAGCAAAATTACTCACATATCGGTCCCGCTTGTGCCAAAGGTTAAGAACCAAAAAACGGCAAGTCGAACAGATAGAATGGACAAGGCAAAATACAATTATACACTGGCTAAAGGGACGCTAAACGAGGCTTTTATACGCGCGTGGGGACGCTAAAATATCTGATTACAAAACCAATCGAGAACAGACAACAACATAACCACATCCGTAACTAAAGTAATTGGTAACAAACAAATCAAATTCCACTTAGACTGAATGAATCGTTTGAGTATCCTTAACAGCATGATTGTTATAGTTTCCTTATTAACTAACTTCAGTTTATGAATTTTTTCTTAACTAGTTAAACCCCAAGAACTGCTTAATTTTGCCTACACTATACAAAAAAACCTACACACAGTGTAGGTACATTTTCAATGCCAGTTACAAGGACAATTTCTCAGCATTCAAGAGTTTCTTGACCTCACGATCATTTTCTATATTCTCACAACATTAATGTGTGACTCAAGAATGATACTGTGGGGAGAAATTATCGGTAGAGGCTATTACTCCCAAGGGTTAGAAGATTAAGGAACAATTCTCCTTATGTTTGGTCGTAATAAGTGGTGTTACCAGGATTGCAACTACACTGCTAAATCAAACCAACATACTCGCTAGAATTATTGAGGTAAATCAGGGAGGATACATTTCGATATTATTTTTTGTCAAAAGTGGGGTGAGTCCACCTCAGGAGATGTGGATTACAATGAGAGAGTGTTTCGACAACTAAACGACACACCACCCTTGGAAGTCACGCACTTTTTTTATTGTGGAGCAGCTTACTCACTAATTACTGTCCATCATCACCCTACAAACTACTGAGGCTTGTCAATTTATCTTAAATCATTGTCATGCTTGTTGTATTTATTCTTTAAAAACGAATATGCGCATCCTCCTTAATCTGAAGGTGCCTGCTGTCTTTACAATGGTTTGTAGTAAACTGATTGTTTTCGGAAAGAAACCCCTTCAGTTAACGAGGACTTAAAGATAAAAAAAAGGCATTGTCATCAAGACCATAAAAGTATAATAGTTCAATGTAATCCGAACTCTCACAGTAATGTGGAATAAAAAGGAAGAAAATTATTACTACGGGCGACAGTTCATAGAGATTATTCCATGGAAAGTGCGCACAAACAATTTTCATTCACTAGTTACGATGCTTGAAAACGTGAACGAGTGAGTTTTTCCTGTAATATTTCATAAACGAGTGTGATTGTTTCATCGGGGTTTCCAAACACGAGAAAACTGATGAAAGCACGAGGCCTACGGCCTCGTGCTTTAATTGTTTTCGAGTGTTTGAAAACCCCAATGAAACACGAAGCACGATTTTTTGAAATTGCTTCTCAATCGTGCATCATTAGCCAAGAACAATGAAAAAATTCTGACTGATTTTGGCATCGTACGCGGATAAATTCTCCATCAGTGGAGTTTGACATTTTATCAATTCTAGGGTTTGATATTTCATCAAAGTATAGTGGAAAAGCCTCTGTCCAGTGTTTCATCGGGGTTTCTAAGCGCACACGTGGCCAAATTGGCGTATCCTGATTGGTTTGTAACTTGACGAATTCTTAATGAGTTTGAGAATTATGCATCGCAACGAGTGAATCAAAATTGTTCAAGCACTTTCCATGGTCACTTGATGTTTTTATTTGATACATACTGAGACTTTTTCTTACCGACCGACACATTGCAATGATTGTGAGCGAAAAACTGTGAAAACACATCGGATCGTTCAATCGGACACGCGAACGACACTACTTCACAGTGTAAATCTCAGTATGTATGAAATAAAATTGAATTTGCGACAGCTTTATTAATATAACTTTTCGCATGCTCCTTTGCAATTATTAAAGCATCTTGTTATTGCTAAATCTGTGTGCTACTAACACAAGACTGTATTTTTTAGATGTAAGTTTCATCATGCTATTTAAACGGGCAAGATTATATTTTAACGTCGAATAACTGTAATGAAACACACACAGAATATCTTATCTCCCAGATGTGTAAGAAGCTTTTTTGTTTAATCCCTTGTCCACTGATATAGAAACATTGTAAAGATTTCTTAAGTTTGAACACCCGTGAGAAAAACAATAAACTCTCTCCTTGAAGGAAACTAAGGGGAATTGTATAGAAGCTAACTCAGTCATCATCATCACACAACTCAAATACTGGAATAGGAGCCACAACACGAGCGGCGGATGCTCTGGAGCCAAAGAGGAGGGAGGCGATGACGGTAGTGCTTCCTGACGAGAGGCCGAAGCCGGTTTGGCTGGTTACTGGCTTCATTTCCTCTTCCGTGCCGAAGTTGGGTTTCTTCAGCACTCCTTTAGAGAGCTTCATTACACATCCAGCGAATGTGTCCTTATTTCCTGATGTGTACTTTTCCACTGGTATAGATGTCTTCTCAATCCACTTATCTTCTGTTGAATCGTAACATTCAACTGACAATAACCTATCTCTATTATTCTTGGTGCCACCCAGAACATATAAGATACCATTCAGACACACCATGCTGCCATACACACGCCAAGCGTTTAAGCTTCCAATGAAGTGCCATTCGTTTGTCGAAATATTGTACATCTCGCATCTTCTTGACACCTTATTCTTTTCGTTTAAGCCTCCAGCAACAAAAATCTTTTGTTTAGTTGCCACTCCAAAGGCACCACCCCTTCCTTGCTGCATGTCAGCGATTTCCTCCCATTGGTTTTTCACAGTGTTGAATCTCTCAGCTGTAGCGACGTAACTAGCACTGCTAGGGGCTGATCCACCTAAAAAATACAGACGGCTACCACCCGCGACAACACAGGACCCGCTCCTAAAGCCTTGAGGAAATTCCACAACTATTTGCCATGTACAAAGCTCCACGTTGAATCTCTTCATAGTAGACTTTCCAACAGGTTTGTTAACTTCAATGGCGTACATATCCCCTTTGACAACGGTCACGATGGCGCTATCTGCCGATACGTCAATCAGATCCGACATTGACCAGCCATTAAACACGGGATCATACTTGTCTGCCTGGCTGAATTCCTCGAACATGTACAGCTGATCACGAAATGTGAGCATTTGCGTTTTCTGGTTTCTCTCAGTTGACCCGTCTGGCAGTCGTTTCCACTGGTTTTTTTCTGGGAGATAACAAAATGTGTACAAGCCACCACATGCTAGAATAACACGTGTTTCCAGACCTTTTCTTGGTGACTGCGGGAGATCATCTTCACTCGCAAAAGTAGCCATCTTTACGGTAGCATCCATGACCAGCTTTACACAAGCATAATTCTCACGCACCAGTTCGTTTGTCACGACACCCTCCAAACAGTCACGCGACAGAAAACTCAGTCTAACGTGACGAAACAGTTCTTCAAATGCTGCTTTTCGCTCGCTCTTGTTATGTTCAACCCATTTAAGTATGATCTTGAAGACGCTGGCTTCCGCTTCCACAGCAATCTCGTCACTTGAAATCCACCTCGCCACCTCCTTAGCCTCCAAGCTCAGAAATTCATCCATTTCTCCTACCGAGGCGAAATTCTCGTGGACGAATTTCTCGCTGTTGCCAATAAGCTCGATACAGTCGTATTTCTCAGCGAAATAAAAGGTCGATATGCAATTTGAATTGGACATTTCTCCCTCTAGAAATCGCCCCGAAACAGTTTTCAAGCTCGGTATGATCATAAAATACCCTGCGGCGATCAGTTTCTTAGGATTGTCCTGAGTTACTTCCACAGTTCCAGTGTAGATGAATTCCAAAACATCTTCCAGAACAGATCCTGAAATCTCCTCAAATCGAATAATCCCTTCGCGATTCTCCTTCATGTCGCTCTGAAGAAGCTTGCAAAAGAACGGACTTTCGGCGGAAAGGACATTTCTGTGAGCCTTAAACTCGCTGTTATCCCTCGAAACCAAAGTAATGTCGCACAAATAATCTTGTTTTCGCTGAATGTTAAGGCGCTTCAACATTTCCACACAGAAAACCGATTGTTCAGCAGCTGAGATAGGCTGTAAATCTTCCATCTTTTATACAATATCCTTATTTCTGTTGGCAAATTCTGCCCAAACCTTGTTGATAATATGGATTAATCTGGAAGAATACCGAAAGCGGAAGTATAGCTGGTTCCCACTTTCCTACGATTTTTCTTTCCCAAGTCAGCTGGAAGACTCTGGGAACGAGTAGAAACACAGTACCAGGGGACTGGGAAAACGTTGTTAGCAGAATCTCGAGGGAGAATATAGGAAAGTCAGGAGCTGGATTCTTTTGAACGGGTATGAGGTGACTGATGATATTGTTGTAAGGATCCATGTGTCCTTAGCTGTGTCAAAACATTCAACACTCGGTTCAGTTTGGCCCCTTTCATTTCTCCTACCCAGAATGTATAGCTTTCCTTTCAGACGAACCTACTTCCGTATGTAAACATCGTCGAACTGATTCAGCTTCCAACGAGTTGCCATTCCATTCGTTTGTTGACGTATTGTACATATCGCAAGTGTTCAATATTTCCCCATTTCGTAATTCCCCTGCGACGAAGACTTTTTCTTGAGTAGCTGCTCCAAAAGCATTCCCTCTTCCTTCCAGCATGTCTGCGATTTCCTCCCATTTGTTCTCCACAGTGTCAAATCTCTCAGCCTCAGCGATGGATTGTTTTATGTCTGGATTCATCCCACCAAACATATACGAATGGCTGCCACCAGCAACAATACAAGCATTTTTTGCTTTACACTCTCTATCACATGAGTAATCGAGTGCCTTCCATGCCCACTATTTCACATCATATCTCTTCACGGTATTATTTTCCCAATAGCGGCAGGTACTGACTAGAACGGCATAAATGTCTCCTTTTACCACAGCCACCTTAGTAGAATTTGAGTGCAAGTTTACTGCTGACCAACCATTACAAAACAGATCGAGTCTCTCTGTATCTGGAAAGTCACTAAAGGTAAACAACTGATCGCAGTAGTTTGTCGTGACTGTACCATCACCCTCTTTTACTTTCAAACCGTCAGGTAAATGCCTCCACTGGTCTTGCTCAGGGAGATAGCAAAAAGTGTATTTGCCACCACGAGCAACAATAATAAGTGTGTCATTTCCCTTTCTCGCTAACTGCGGGAGATCATCTTCATCGGCAAAAGTAGCCATCTTTATCATGTAGTATCTAATTAACGTCAGCCTCAAACAAACAGCACTGTCACGAACAAGTTCGTTTGTCACGACATTCTCCAGACAGTCACGCGACAGAAACCTGGTCGAACGTGACTAAACAATTCTTCAAATGCTGCTTTTCGCTCGCTCTTTCTGTGGTTTACCCAGTCCAATATGATTTTAAAAACATCAACTTCCTCTTTGACTATAATCTCGTCGGACGAAATCCACCTCTCGATCTCTCTAGCTTCCAAGTTCAAAAATTCACCAATTTTTGCCACGGAAACGATGTTTTCGTGAATAAAACGCCTGCTGCTGGCGATGAGCTCGTCACAATCGTATTTTCAGCGAGGTAAAAGGTTGAAATACAGTTAATGTGTGACATTTCTCGTTCCAAAAACTGCCCTGAAACAATTTTCAAGCCCGAAACGATCAGATAATTCCCTGCGGCGATCAGTTCCTTTGCGTTCTCCTGAGTAACCTCTACAGTTCCAGTGTAGATGAATTCCAAAATATCTTCCATAACAGATCCTGAAATCTCCTCAAAACGAACAATCCCCTTTCGATTCTCTTTCATGTCGGTCTGAAGAAGTCTGTAAAAGAACGGACTTGCGGCGGAAAGAACATTTCTGTGAGCCTTTAACTCTCTGTCGTCTTTGGAAACAAAAGTAACATCGCACAAGTAATCTTGTTTTCGCTGTGCGTTGAGGCGCTTCATCAGTTCTACACAGAAAGCCGTTTCTTCGGCAGCTCAGATAGGCTGTATATCTTCCATATTTAACAGAATTTCCCAATTTCCGTGGGCAGATTCTGATAAAGTGGATTAATACTCGGGAAAAATACCGAAAGCGGAAGCATGGATGGTTCCCACTCAGTCCCATACGCGCTCGGTTGCCGAGTCCCCTGGGGATTGTGGAGAAGAGAAGGACAGTCTCTAACTGTCACTGCCATTTTGTCTCTGGTGTGGTTGTTTTGTAGATCCATTACTAAAGGAAGTTGAAGTATTTTCCACGGAGAGCAGTGAGATTTGTTTCCGACAGTTGACTGCAGAGTTTAATGGTGTAGTTCGCCTTTTAAAATCTTGCTTAAGAGCAGAAATTTTCTACGGAGTTTTTCTCTTAGACCTTGCGCTCTTGGTCCATGGAAAATACGGCGTCTTTAGTGGCATTTCTTGAGAAAGGGTTCGATGGCACTTTTATTCACCTACCAGCACCATAAATCGAGAGACCACAGGGTCCGTTAGGTGGGAAAAATTACTCAAATTATGAATCAAGATCCTCCTGGCCGTGAGAGATGAAATTCTAGGATTTTCTCGGATTTCCATGACTCACATGAACCCTGGACCTTGCACCCTAGCACCATTCAATAAAACTTAATATGAATTGAACTGTAAGGGAAGGAGGAGACATATTTAGCTACAATCTAAAAAAACATCTATTGTAATTTGGTTATATCAACTAAGTTGAAATTGTAAATTGGCCACCGTACGTAAAGCGTTAAAAAGCTGACTTTTCGAGCGTTAGTCTGATGATGTTGATAAGCTCTTCTTAAAAGTATTCCTCAGCGAGCTAAAAGGTTGCAATACAACGTTCATATGTGACATTTTTGGTTCCAAAAACGGCCCTGAAACAGTTTTAAAGCTCGGTATGATCATATACCTCCCTGCAGCGATTAATTCCTCGGCATTTTACTGGACCACTTCCACAGCAGATCGGAATTCCAAAACAACAGATCCTGAGATCTCCTAAAATCGGATAATCCTTTCGCGATTCTCTTTCTTGTCGCTCTAAAAAAGCTTGAAAAAGATCGGACTTACGGCGGAAAGCACGTTTCTGTGAGCCTTTAACTCTCTGTTATCTTTGGAAACCAAAGTAATGTCGCACAAATAATCTTGTCTTCAATGAGTGTTTTGGGCGCTTCATCAATTCCATACAGAACAACGCTTGTTCCGCAGCTGAGATAGGTCTAATATCTTCCACCGTTAACAGAATATCCTTATTTCCTCGTACACTAGAATCCGCTCAAATGTTTCTCATAATGAGGAACACACGGAAAATATATTGAAAGTGGAAGTATAGCTGATATCCACTTTTCTTTTTCAGCTCCCGAGTCCCTGGGCTGGGGAGTTCTGGAGACGAGAAGATATGAGAGCAAGCAAGCTATCATAAGCTATGGTAAAAAGATACAGGTACAGGTCAACCAAACATTTTACTGGTTCTGAAGAGGACAAGCGTTACTGGTCGAAATACAGTTTGCCCCGGCATTGCAAGATTACGTTAACTCTGACGTGACTCGGGTACGAACATAGCTCAGACAACAGAGATTCGACCAGGTTTTATTCCGTTGTAGGTTTATCTACACATCTTTGCTTAACTGTGACCATTCTTTGCTTTAGAATTAAACTCAGTAATCATTAAATTAATTTATACCTGTGTTTAATCCGTTTAGGAAGCCTAATTTTTTCAGACGTACGGCTTGTTCATTTACATGTCGCTTTTTCCAAGCCGTTTTCGTAACTTTTAGATTGCCATTTAAATAGTGCTTACATAGCGTGTGTTCGAAAGATTCAACTCCTACTTTTAAACACGAAGGCGCGCTACTGAAACGAGCCTTAGGTCCCACTGGACCATTTGTCAATCAACCGTCGGGTGATGTAGAACTCTCAGAGTCAAGTCAGCTTGAGCTACAGCTACTCCAAAGCAGTGAGCAGCGGGCGCATTCCTCAAAATTGTTTTATGTCTTCATCACAATACAAGAATTTTTGAGATTTGTATTTCCTTTCTCCAATGGAAACTGTCTTCATTTGTGGCGGTAAATTTGAGATCGAAGTAGGTGGTTCGCATGTTACCTCATTGCCACCATGCTGGTGGAAGTAAACAATAGATATCTCATTAGCTCCTTTTGTTCGTCTACCAGCATTTACATTTGATCCACACACGTCAACGGTGAGTGACAAATGAGCCTAGGTCTTCCCAGGGAAGACTTCCTTATATAGCGCGCCTTCGTGTTTAAGTGGCATAACACACAGGGGTAGGATTCACTACTTACTAAGATTTTCTTTACTTGTTTGTTTTTGCATTCAGATTTTCGTGTTTAAGAAACGGTGTTTCTGACTGTCAATCAAATTCTCCTTGTCAGCTCCATAGGAAATGTAAATAGAACAGTGTGGAGAATATGAATACTACTGTTAAGGTATAAAGGGTTTACGGCAGTTTTTCAGTTTGGACCAATTGCTGTTGTGGCATTTTATTTCTATGGCCACTTTGGTTTCTCTGTTTCCAACAAGCCCCTACACACCCCCTGTGTAAAACAAAGCTGGTAGTGTCTTATCCTAACAAGCAATCAGTGTTAAAGGTAGTAAGCTACCAAAGGTTTCCAAAACCATATCCACTTCGTTTTATTTAACCAGAGTACAGATTCGAGTATTCTTATCAATCAGAAACAGCCAAAATGGCACTCAGAACTGTGCTTTCCCGCGCTTGTCGGTGCAGGTTACATTTTTCCCACGCAAACAACGCTTAACGCGTTTGGTCTGGTCAGTGGTGCATTTACTCTAACGACGAATCAAGGATTCCTTTCTTCTTATTCGCTGACATATGTCTGTTTATTTAATCCGTCATTCAACTTATTCGTGAAAAATACGATTTAAGAGTGATCTAATCCATAATCCATAATTATGTAAGTTCTTATAGAGCAACCTGTACCCAGATTTTGAAAACTGCTGGGGGACCCATTCTCCTGCATTGCCGTGTGCATTTCGCTGAGCTCAACAGGTTTCAAATGTAACTGATTGCTCAATGGTGACCATATTCTACTCATCTACAGTAAGCTAGTCTGTCCGTTAAGCCGGACCTGTTTCGTCTTCTTTTTGACTTCAGAGGCAGTCAGCGTGAAAAATGCGGAGCAGTCAAGTATACATTTCGAAGAAACTAGGCTCAACAATGTTTAGGTTGTCTCGTAATTCTCTGGAGAGCCTCAGAACAGAGGCAGTGAATTCACTTTTATTTTCTGGGTCGATCTTCGTCACTGGTATGGTTGTTATGTGGATCCATTGTTCGTTCGGCAGGTGAAAATATTCAACACTCAGTTCACTTTGGCCCTTCTGATTTCTTCCACCCAGTAAGTACAGCTTTCCATTCAAACAAACCATACTGCCGTCATAACGTGGAACATTCAAGTTCGCAATACGTTGCCACTCATTTGTCGACGTTTTGTACATCTCACAAGTTTGTAATCTCCCTCTCCCGCTTATTTCTCCTGCAAAGAAGATTTTCTCTTGAGAGGCCACTCCAAAAGCTTGGCTTCTTCCTTCTAGCATGTCAGCGATTTCCTCCCACTTATTCTCCACGGTGTGAAATCTCTCAGCTTTTGCGACGTGGTCCTCACTATGGTCTCGATTCCNTAGCATTCTCCTGAGTTACTTCCACAGTTCCGGTGTAGATGAATTCCAAAACATCTTCCATAACAGATCCTGAGATCTCCTCAAATCGAATAATCTCTTCTCGAATCTCCTTCATGTCGCTCTGAAGAAGCTTGAAAAAGAACGGACTTGCGGCGGAAAGAACATTTGTGTGAGCCTTTAACTCACTGTCGTCTTTGGAAACCAAACTAATGTCGCACAAATAATCTTGTTTTCGCTGAAAGTTGAGGCGCTTCATCAATTCCACACAGAGAGAAGTTTGCTCAAGGCCTGTAATTCTTCCATTTTCATAGAATATCCTTCTTTTTGGGAACAGATCCCTCCAATTTATCTCCCAGTGATGAACAGTGATGTGGAAGAGGAAGTTCTTACCTCGTTCCCATTCTCCTTCTCGTCTCATCGAGTTTCAGCCCAACAATCACTCTAGAGACTCTGGAGACGAGTTCAACGAACAAGACTTACAATAGTTCTAAGGAAGTGAGCCTTGGTGATTCTAAAAAATTCTAGGGGAAATAGTCTCCCGATAAAAATTTCTGAAAAGCTAAGTCTATACCTCTTTGCTCAACCGTTTATAGGAAACGCTTGAGTAAACTGCAAGGAGATGGAGTAAACTACAAGGAGACGGAACATCTGGTCGAAGACATAATGAATATTTCAACTGGATATGAGTGCTGCCCTGGGCGATTTACATAAGGTACAAGTCGAAATATTGACTGATTAAAAAGACTGTTTGCTGTTTTACTGTATCAGCAATTTATTGGTTGATTTACACATTACACACAAGTCTAGTGCATGCATCTCTACAAAAATAGATCCAGCAATATGAGAGAGACTGTAGAAGTATATTAGGTTATTCGTTTAATTTGCTTTTTTTTTAATAATTGTTTTAGCCGTGTATGTGGTATCATTATTTTATGTAGTAGAAACAAACAGAGCACAAAACCAGCTTTGGGGTAAAAAATTTATCACGTTTGTATGCTCACTTTTGGTTAACTATGAAATTTTTTCAATTGAATTTCTTGACGATCACTTAAGCTCCACTTTGCTTCACAACTCTTGGCTTTTTTGGGGGGGGGTTTAATCATTAGTGTTAGTAATTCAAATTTAACGAAAATTTTTCCTGATTTGTTACACTTTCTGATAATCTTGACAAGCTGATGTGAGAGGGCTGAACAAGTTGAGGTGTTCAGAAAAAGCCACCCCTAAGTTTCTCATGTACACATTAATGACTTTAATGAATATATAGATCCTGGTACACAGTCATTAGAAACAACTGAGTAATTTTCAGTCAGGTGTGTGGAATTTTAAAGTGTTCGAGCATGTTTAAGCATGTGATAGTATTAAAGATTTTTCTGAATTTATTTTGTACCAAATTCTAGCAATCAATCTTTCAGTGCATTGAAACCACTGAAATTGGACTCAAATGGGGGGAGTGGGGAGGGGGATTTAAGTTATGGTTTTTGAAAAAGCGGGAGCCTGTGTGCTGGGAAGGTTGGCACCAGTACAAATAATTGTGAATTCATTTGACAAAATTGCCATTTCTCGTCTATTTTGAAGTTGTTTTCATCATTTTGAATGAACTAATCTTTACAGCATCTGCTCTCACATTAGATTAAAGTTATTCAATTAATGCAAGTATCAGGGAAAACAGACCTCACCTGTTTGCGAAACCTGCAACAAATAATTTTATAGTGGAATTGACATTCCTCAGAGCTTGACCAGAAGCCTCTTTCTAATCCATGTATTTTCTCATTTGATCAGGGGCTCTTTCTCCTGACATGCATTTAAATATGCTTGTGGAAAGAGCCCTGGACCGAAGTTAAAAACTCCTTTGGAAATACCACTGCAATCAATCCTTTATGCCTTAACATCAGTATGCACGTTCTCTATACAGTTCTATATTCATTTCCTAGGCTGCTGATAAGGAGAATTTGTGGAGAAATCAAGAGCTTTGGTTGATCATTTCCTCAATTCTCCTGATCTTAATGAGTGATTCAGTAATAATATTGTTATTTGCACAACACATCTTATTTTAGTTTGCTTAGTCATTACTTGTTATCAGTTTGTTGCATTTAAGTTTTATTATTCACGCCATGATTGCTAGGAATCAAATTTTGTTAATAATTATATAACCTTTGAAATCGATATAATCAGCCACACTACTACATTTTTATTTGTTAAGTGATCCGTTGTTGTTTCGCCATCTTAAGTTCTCAAAGCTATTTTTTTTGTATTGATTGCTACCCGCAGGAGCAAGATCAAAGTAAGTCTGATCACATCATCAGTTGTAATCATTTTGTTTTATTTATAAAATTGTGTTCCTTATCAGTGTCCTTGATCTACATGTTGTAGCATTAGCTTACATTAGCCTTTCCCTTTTCTCTTTTTTATCGTTTGACTTTAGTTTGAACCACACTCACAATTACAACTTCAATTTTGTCATCCGTTCCCTGTACTGTTTTGATTCACCACTTTTTCTAATAAATACTCTGCTTATTCAACCCTTCAACATGTGTTGAATTACTTGACCTCCTGGGGTCAAATTCTCCCATCACAGTCTACACGTGGCTTTGTCCTGGAAAGTCATAGATTTAGATAGGAGAAATTAGATGCTGGTCACTCTTAGGGATATAATGACCAGATTATGCATTTATACTATTACAACTTAATTAAACAATAAGCAATTATTGAAGGAGGTTGAGCATGATATCATGGATTATCAATGCAGAGGTCTTAGTTAATATCTGCCAAAGGCAAAGGCTGAGGCAGATAACACAGATAAAAGGTTTGACAAATCATGGTATCATGCAAAACCCAAGTTCAATATTATTGTTTTATTATACATTCCTTAAACAATCTGCAAAAGAATACACCTCTCTGAGTTTGCAAAAGTTTGAGAATTCTAACACAAGTGAGGGACTTACAGACTAGGCAGACTTTGAACTTGACATGATAACCCAATATCTGCAGCAGATATTGGGTTATCATTGTTACCGCTGGGTTTCACTTTCCCCAGCTGGGTCCCCTGCGGAGGCGCTTGACTTTCGGGCATGCGCGTGAGTGGCCTTCGAGTAAAAACCACGAGGGCCACCGAGTTTTTACCTGAATTCAAGCTGAATTCGATCTGAATTCGATAGTTTAGTGCTGAATTTTGAGTTCACCTCACGGTGCCTCGTGTAAGAGTAAACGGTTAACTTTATGGTTCGTCTTCACTCGTATTTTCTAAATGGTAGACTTTACGGTTAGACTTTACTCGCATTTACAATCATCATTCACAGGGTATTGTATAGTGACAGTATCCTCTGGACCAATCAGAGTTGTCATAGTAAGTCTAATGCATAATAATAGTCAATAAGGGTTAACTACAATGATGGCAAATGTCTTAGCATGCTCTTAAACTGTTACTAACTACTCTCATTTATCTTTCCTCCACCCCTCCCCCTCTGAGGACTCTCCTTCATTACAAAGCATAACTACCAAGCAACATCGGTTGGGGGTAAAAGGGGGACTTTCAAGTAAAGTTAGTTGAGTTAAATTATATGAAAAACTATTTTTTGTCACTCATTTTAGTTATACATGTATCAACAGCGAGCATAATGCAAACATCTCTCATTCCCTCAAGATGCTTGAACTCAAGTAACATTTCAACCATGTCAAGTCTGATCTTTGCCAGTGGGACTTTAGTGTCTGCAAGAAACTTGAGGCTGTTATCGAGCAGAGGCTTAAAGCAACTCAGTGTACTGTTATCATAAATAGCTAGCTGAGAAAAAGATTTTGAAAAAGGTGGAATTGGAAATAGTAATACTTATAGTAAATTGGAAAATAGTAATACTTATAATCTTGATACCTAATTAACAGTGATTGCTCACTATTAATACTGTAAAGTTAGGTAACAACTGAATACAAACATTGATATACATATAAACGGTTTAACATGTTGTGTGAAGGTTGTTTCACGTTAATTAAATACCCTAAAGTCACTTCAAAAAAAAAAAGAGGAAAAATTAAGATATCCGATAACAGAATATTTGCACATAAAAAGTGGGGTAACTTTAAAAATAGGAAACTCTCAGAAAAGCTAGTTCTATGCCTGGCTAATCAGAATTCCTTTTATGTCAATTTACTTAAACAAACATATAGAGAGGCATTAAGCAAGTTAGCCATCTAAATCAATTCAAATAGAAAAACTGATTGTGCTTTGACGATTATTAGTTCTAATGAGTTTTTTGTACTATGTCAATTTTGAATCAAATGACTACTGTTATAATGTTGATGAGTAGTTGAATATACACATGCCAATAAGTTATAGAGGGCTTTAAGGAGTAAACTGTGTTAATGCTGAAACATAAAAAGATGAAAATAGAGAAAAACAGCCATTATTCATAAATTTAACAGTCAATCCCTAAGTTGTGGGACTGAGGTGCTTCTGGTATTTTATGTATCTGCCTTTGAAAAGTCCATTTTATGGTCCACTTTATGTGCTCTATTGCCAGATCAATGTCACCGGCCCAAGCGTGACATTTTTATGAATTAAACTCTTCTGTGTTTTATCTCCATTACTCCTCTATCGCTAGTTTTCCATCTCTATTGTAACAAATCGTCTTCACACAACTATAAAGTGCTCTACAATACGGATTTTCCCAAATCTTTCTCAACTTAAGCCATTAGAATTTTATGTTTGTCAATTCTTAATTCACTCAATTTCTACTCAAGGCAGTGCAAATTTCAGAAGAAAACTTTAATGTCCTCAATCAAGCACACTAAACTAATTACACATGTAATTGATAAACCCAGGAATAATTTCTGTTTTACCACATTGGTATTGTAATGTTGCAATCTGATTGGTTAATTTGCCATCGTCGATAAGAGTACAGTCGACAACGCTTCTTGCGTTAACATATCACGCAACATGTCAGGCACTGCTAGAGTCATTTTATTTGACAACGATATTGTAGTCAAAAACAAGTGGACAGTGATTTTGTGTGGTCTGTACTCTTATTGACGACAATTTCTCATCATAGCTAGTAGTCAAAATTTGTTGCGGATTCACTCGGCAGCACCTCATGAGTCCACAACATTTTGACCACTGTGATGATGAAGGTTATCAATCAAGTCACCCAAGAGTCATCTCACCCGAATTCATGTTCTACCGGAACCTGAGTCATGTTGCCCCCCCCCCCCAAAAAAAAAATCAAGTCGCCGGAAGAAACAAGTACTTAAAGATCAGACTTTAAGAGTACAGACCATGCTAGACCAATTTTGATTTGTTAACTTTATAATTGTGATAAGTCACCTCCAAAGGAAAAATTAACGAAGGGGCTTCTCACCAACAACACTGAGTTTATTCAGCACACTACTTAGGAACTGGGGGGTAAGGATTTTTGGCTATGTCATGATAAAATTTACCTTTACACGGGGGGATGGGTTGGAGGTTTGTGAGTATCACACGGTTTCCAGGGTAAATGGAGGGGGAATCGGTCATCTCCAATAGAAGGGGATTATAAGAAATTGACGGTCATTGAAGGAGAATCATTAGAATACTACATAGCCTATTGAGGGATCTGTTAAATTTAATCATGACATAGCCAAAAATCCTTACCCCCCAGGCGACAAATGATGACAAGTCCCTAATTATTGTGCACGGTCGTCCAGTTAGGGCGCGCTAGTCAGCATTTTTAACTGACTGGGAGACTACACCTCTGTAATACTAAGTTCCTCTAGTGCTCCTTGGGAAAGCCTCATTGCACATCCAATAAACAGATTATATGTTGTGGAGATGCTTTCCAATGGCATGATTGTTTTTTGGATCCATATGTCCTTAGCTGTGTCAAAGCACTCAACACTCAGCTAATTTAGGTTGCCCTTACGAGTCATTCCACCCAATACGTACAGCTTTCCATTCAGTTGTACCATACTAAAATGGTAACGAGGAACGTTTAGG